GCGATACACAACTGAAAAAATGTATTTTTTTTTTTAGAAAGTAATGTAAGTGTTTGTTGTGGCCCATAGACATCTACATCTATCTTTGTTTGCGAATTAAAATGCAGATGTGTTATCACCCGTGAGGACTAAGATAGAACGCCTCTTTTCCAGTAAAATGGGTCTCCGGTTCTCTACACTCACCATACGAAACACAGCAGCATTAAGCTGCTATTTGACGCTGGTATTCTGTGAGAGCGTGATCATTCCCCGGTCGAGCCGACCCATTCGTGCTACAACTATACTATTAATATAGCTGCAGCATGGCTCTACCACGTTTCTGTCAACAAACTTCTGAGCAGTTTTGAGAACTGTGAAACTTTAATAGTGTAAATTTCAATTATGTTAAACAAATAAATAAATAAAATATGACCGGCACATTGCCAGTTCAGCTTACAGATCCATTAATTTGACACTCTTATCTAATATTTTTCGGCCGACTTCCAAAAAGGAGACAGTACTCAATTCGACTGTATGTTTTTTTTATGTGTGTTACCTCATAACTTTGTACTGGGTGAATCGATTTCGATGATTCTTTTTTAATATGAAAGCTGATACTTCTCGTGTGGTCCTATATGAATTTGATCAAGGTCAGACTAATAGTTTTTGAGTTATTCTTAAATAACTTATATTGAAGTCGGCTGTACAAAATTTTTAATTTTAAATTATGTCAATGATAAGTTAAAGTACAATTTAAAATTAAAAATTTGATCAAGGTCACACCAATAGTTTTTGAGTTATTCTTAAATAAGTGATATTCAAGTCGGCTGTACAAAATTTTTAATTTTAAATTATGTTTTACTGAGAGGGTTCTGAGGTAAATACAGTTACCATCAGATTATTGTGAGCTGGTTTTTTTACCGTTACTTATATAAAATAGAATGGAATAGAACCGTTTTAATTCAATATAGGTTATAAATAATACTCATTAAACGTCAGTTCTTATGTTTATTTGCTATTGGTTCTCTTACTCACGACCATCAGACTCTGGAACGACATCCCTCTTGACATTAAAAAAGCTTCCAACAAGTTTGTTTTTAAAAATCAAGTCCGTAAGCATATGAAAAAATTGTTGCAAGTTTGAACTAACACAACTCTTATTTTCATACACATATGTATAGTTCATATTTGTTCTGACATAGATAATATTTATATGTATTGTGTATTTAAGTATATATGTCTATGTATGTGTGTGTATATGTATATTTGTATATATATATATATACAATATTTTTTTAGCGCTTTCTATATTGATTACGTCTTACGTATGCTGCACCGTCTCTTGTTTGTATATCTCTGTTTAGCCTAATGGTTGACTGGGGGAGAAAGCCCTATGGCATTAAGTCCGCCATATGTACAACTTTGTGCATGAAAGATTAAATAAATAAATAAAATACCTCTGTCCTGAGAAGAACCAAAAAGAAACCCTGTGGGTTCTTTTTTGAAAAAGGAACAGTTTGCAATTAGTATATATAACGTAAAACAATTAACTACAGTAAACAGAAATAGCTTGGTAGCGATCACCTTATTCCCAGAAGTTATTATCATCCATAAATTCCTTAATATTATAATTATAATAACCTTTTCATACAATCTTTGTTGTGCAAAAATACATCACAATTAATTTACCACGTGGTATTTAATAGAGACAAAGATAAAGTACGGTAACTATTGTTGGGAATTACCCAAAGAATGTCATAAAAACCTATAAAGTTTTACTACGTGATAGAGCCATTTTGCGGCTATATTATTAGTATAGTTGTAGCACGAATGGGTCTGGGACCGTGGACCGGGGAAGGACCACGCTCTCACAGAGTAACATCGTAAAATAGTACCTTAACGCTGCTGTGTTTCGTATGGTGAGTGTTGAAAAACGGATACCCATTTTACTGGAAAAGAGGCGTTCCATCTTAGTCCTCACGGGTGACGACGCATCTGCATTTTGATTCTTTATTGAGGATAAATCTATGTCTATGGGTCACAGCAACCACTTACCATCAGGTGGGCTGTGTGTTGTCACCCTAAAAAAAGTGACAGAGAAAATGTTTTAGCCAAGTCAGCTAGCAGCAACATCTTCCTGATATATTAAAAAAATGTGGCAACTATCGCAAATTTCAATTTGTATATAGATTTTGTATAACCGTGTAGTGGCGGTGTAAAAATATCCACTACCCCATATCATCCTGTGAGTGTCGTAAGAGGGAACAGAGGGAAGCTGAACTGGGAGATGGCCAGAACTCTTCCTGATAACAGCTAAGTGAAAAAGAACTGCCCTAGAATACACTATTAATTGTGGTAACTATAAAAAATATCCCCTCTATGAGGCAGTCTATGGGGGAGGCATACGTTCGTCAGTGGACTCTTGATAGACTGTAATAATACAGCTGTCGCGTCGCTCTACCCTGTATGAATATGAATAAAACAATTAATACAACGTATTACAAATATTGGTTTTGTACACACATCGACAACTTAATTTCATCGCAAGGAACATACTTTACGAATGAATCGTAAATATAGGCAGAACGTGAGGTTTGCACATGCCTGTGTAGGCTCTATTAAAAATAAAAATTAACTCCAGTGGTTGCCGCCTGTGGCGCTGCTTTCTCTCGACCGTCGGTCGCGTTTTCGCGTCAAACAAAATGTCCTTCGCAGTCCTTTGCTTTTACATCCTTTAACTAATATTACTTTTAATTAATAAATACTTGGTTTCTTATAGTTTTCTGGGTGTATTATTTTATTTTCACAATTAATAACTTATTTTTTATGATATCGTAGATTTATATACTGTCGTATGTAATACGCGCTACGAGCCGTCACTAATTAGACCAAGGAGTGACCCCAAAGGCCGTTCGAAGTGATAACACGTTATAATCAGCAATTCGGTGTTACTAGCATCGTTTACCGTTTTCTTCTATATAGGAAAAAGTCTATGCAATGCGATTGATTTCTTATCTTAAAATTTTCTTAATAATAATATTATTATCTAGACCAACTTTCGATGTAAGCGGAGAGTTTCAACGGAGACTAGTCATCTACGTCGGACAGATGCGCAAGCACAGGTGCACTCCCTATTCCCTCACTCTCATAGTCCAATGGGGTGGTAAACCGACACGAGCGGAAAGAGATCAGGCGCAGGACCAACGGCTGTCCGTGATTATATAATTAAAAATTAAAAATTTTGTACAGCCGACTTCAATATAAATTATTAAGAATAACTCAAAAACTATTGGTCTGACCTTGATCAAATTCATATGGGACCAAATAAAAAAAGAATCATTGAAATTGGTTCACCCAGTAAAAAGTTATGAAGCAATACACATAAAAAAAAACATACAATCGAATGGAGTACCGTCTACTTTTTGAAGTCGGCAGAAAACACGGGCGTAAAACATCGCCGACTTCCTAAATCCAGGCTGCAATTGAGAATTTCTTTACAAAAAAACCCTGTAACTGATTATTGGACCGAGCCGGGATTCAATGCATGGACCACGTAATCGGCAGTAGCGCTTACAATCACTAATCCAACGAAGCAGTCATTTCTGTTCTTTCTTACTAATTATATATATGTCACACGGTCACGATAGCCAGTCTTAACGGAGATTAGCCATCTGAGCAGGGTGGAATTCTAGTGCTCGACGCGACCGGACACAGACAGGCGTAGTACCTACTAACACGCGTTTCGAAGCACGGGGGTGATACGAGTACATCGTCAACTTCTTAACTCCCAGACTGATACCGAGAATTTCTTGATTGAAAACCACAAGCAAGCCGATTATGACCCATCGCGGAATTCGAACCCGGGATCAGATGATCAGCAGTCGCTTCCTCTACCAGTAGACCACCAAGGAATTCAAAAGAACGTTAATAAACCCATGGGAAAGATGTTTGAAAGTGCAAGGGACCTTCGCATCACTATTTAAACAACACTACGTGCTTTCCAAGGCACGGGGGTGAAACATCGCTAACTTCTTGACTCAGGGTTGCTTCTCAAAATTATTTGACAGAAAATCCCAATAACTGATTGTGACTTAACCTGGAATTGGAACCCGGGACCTCTTGATTAGCAACCGCGTTTGCGTCCACTAGACAAACGAGGCAGCCATTATAGAATAGAATAGAATAGAATGATTTTTTATTCAATATTGATTATTACATAATACGTATTGAAAGTCATTTTTTATTTACCACTGGTTCGGAAAATACCTCTGTCTTGGAAAGAACCTGCAAGAAAACCAGCGGAACTTTTTTTGAAGCATATTTCACTTTACAAACATTTTGTTTATACAATTTTTAAATGAATTTTCATAGAACCAGCATGGTGGTGATCATCTTATTCCCAGGGGTTATTTTCATTCATGTATTCCTTGATATTATAATAGCCCTTTCTGTACAGTTTATGTTTAATAATACTTTTAAACTTGTTTATTGACAAACTTTGAACTTGTTCTGGCATTTTGTTCTAAACCCCATATATGAATTACTGATTCTGTGGAGTCTAGTAAGTGGCATTACAAGCTTATGTTTGTTCCTAGTGTTTAAAGTATGCACATCCTTATTCTTATTAAAGCTATTTATGTTTTTATGTACATACATAACATTTTCATAAATGTATTGCGATGCCAAAGTTAATATGTTTATTTCTTTAAATTTTTCTCTGAGGGACTATTTACAATTTACATTATAAATCGCCCGTACGGCTCTCTTTTGCAAAAAAAAATATAGCTTCAATATCGCATTACCTCATAGCAAAATTCCATAAGACATTACGCTATGAAAGTAACTAAAATATACTAATCTATGTGTCTCAACATCTTTGAGACTTCTAATCTTTCTTACAGCATATGCTGCAGAACTAAGTCTGCTTGCTAATTTAAAGACGCTATAAGATTAAAGTATAAATCTTATTTTTTCATAGTAATGAAACCGACGTAACTTACCAATAATACTTGTTGTTTCAGGTGAATGTCTAACGACGGGTCGATATCCGTTCATCTGTCTGCAATTCGAATTGCCACCTGATGTGGAACCTGAAGAGGTCACCGTTGTAGAATTGTGGTTCTATAAGGTAAGGTCTACGTTTTGCAGCTGAGTTTAGGCCTCTTCACATTTCAGAAGGTTTTCGTGCAAGGAAGTGTCCGTCGCGCTAACCCAGTGCGTGTGGGCGCACTTCTTTTTTCTACAGACTTCAAAAAGGAGACGGTACTCAATGTGACTGTATGTTTGAAAGCTGGTGCTTCTCATGTGGTCCCATATAAATTTGATCAAGGTCTGATCAATAGTTTTTAAGTTATTTTTAATAATTTATATTGAAGTCGGTTGTACAAAATGTTTAATTTTAAATTATTTTATAGAATACGGGTGAGAAACGAGCACACAGTCCACCTGATGGTAAGTGGTTGCTGTGGCCCATAGACATTTACATATATCCTCGATTACGAATCAAAATACAGATGCGTCGTCACCTGTAAGGACTAAGATGGAATGTCTCGGTTCCAATAAAAAGGGTCTCCGGTTCTCTACACTCACCATACGAAACACAGCAGCATTACGCTGCTGTTTTACGCTGGTATTCTGGGAGAGCGTGGTCCTTCCCCGGTCGAGCCGACCCATTCGTGCTACAACTGTACTACTAATATAGCTGCAGCATGGCTCTACCACGTAAAGAACTTCACATGTCTTTGAATTATTTTTTAATTCTTTAGACATTCAGGTTTCCTTGCGATATTTTGCTTCACCGTCGTGCACCTGGTATATTAGCACGTAACGAACCGGGGTCGCGTATAGTGGCAATATCTATGGCGAGCCCTAACCCGCAAGGCTACCATGACTCTTGAGTGATATTTCTAAGTTTTTTTTAATATACAATAAGGGTGACTAATGGCCACACAATCGACCTTCGGTTCTCTACACTCACCATACGAAACACAGCAGCGTTAAGCTGCTATTTTACGCTGGTATTCTGTAAGAGCGTGGTCCTACCCCGGACGGGCCGACACATTCGTGCTAGAACCATAATATAGCTGGCTCTTTTCTGTATAAAAGTTCATTCAAAATAAACAAATAATTGAACTTGTGGCGGCGCTGTCGTCGCGCCACAAGCGAAACACATCGAAGCCTAAATCGCGCTAACAAAATTCCGAAGTTAAAACAGTATATATATAGAATAGCTCCGAACTACCACTCGGAGCGTAGGCCGCTCCCCGGGCAGAACATCTTGCCTGGCGGGAGATCTCCCCTTTTCCATCTAACCGCCACAAACTTCAAAAAAATAAAAATTCAGTTTATTTATTATTTTGAATATTCGCTGTATTGTAACGTATCTAAAAAATATACAAATTCTCAATATTTACAGGAGCGCGATCCTTTGGACGAATACAACCAAACATTTGTGATTTCGGAAGCGGCGCATTGGGACAGTCAGCAGCAGTTCAAGAAGACAAAACCCATAGCAATTAAGGAGACCGACATTGGTGAAGGCTGGGTTCGAGTGGAGCTTGCCTGGGCTGTTAGAGTCTGGCTAGAAGGCCGAGAGAGGCTACATACTCTTCATGTTGCTTGTAGGACTTGTCAGGTACGTACCAATTTAGGAAAAGAACCTAGTAAATTATATTCATTTCATTTATCATCTATCATTATATTATGGTACATGAAGTGGCGGTGTAAGAATATCCAATACGATATATTGTCTCATAGATGTCGAGTCTGTGGTTCTCGTTGCACAATTCTCTAATTGAGTTTTTGGCGGGAACTTGACCGGCGGCAGTTTACTGCTCCTGTATTATTGTTTAAACTTTGTTTAAACAGTTTGAAGTGGATTTTGATATGTAAAAGTGGAAACGGTGAAACAAGTGCTCTGATGGTGATGTTATTTTCAAAATAAGGTGTCTGTCTGCTTAGGCCCCTTGAGATACCATCGCCAATTGTCAGCTGTCTGCTGGTTCAAGTTGCCGTCAAAATCTCACAAGGGCTGCACAATGTGACGCATCAACATATTGTGAAGCAGTATACTATGAAGGATAATTATAAATTGTAACTTCAGGCTCAGAAGGACTAGAACCCAGAGCCGTAAAGCCAGTTATAAAGAAGAAGGTCATAGATGTCGACAAAGGGAAGCAAACCAGGAGATGGACAGGAGCGTCTTCCTAATAACATACTAAAAATAAAAAACTGCGGCTGCAAACCCACCTGCCAAGCGGACATTCCCTCTATGGGGCAATCTATAGGGGATGGCCTATGTTGTGCAGAAATTTTTTATAGACTGTTACGGTATTCATTCATTACAGATGTTCAATAGTCCACTTTTAACATAGGCCGCTCCCCTTTTTTTATAAAATAATGGTGACAAACGAGCACACAATCCATCTGATGGGAAGTAGATGCTATGGCCCATAGATATCTACATCTATCCTCAGTAAAGAATCAAAATACGGATGCGTTGTCACATCTAAGGACTAAGATGGAATGCCTAGTTTACAGTAAAAAGTCAGTTCTCTATACTCACTGTACCTATTTTGGCAGTGAACCTGCAATTCCACTGGTGTTGCAGTTGTTCTTTTTTTAATAGGACAGGGTGACAAACGAGCACACAGTCTACCTGATGATAAGTGGTTGCTGTTACCCATAGACATATACATCTATCCTCATTTGCGAATCAAAATGCAGATGCGTTGTCACACGTGAAGACTAAGATGGAATGCCTCTTTTCCAGTAAAAAGGGTCTCCGGTTCTCTACACTCACCATATGAAACATAGCACTGTTAAGTTGCTATATTACGCTGGTATTCTGTGAGAGCGTGGTCCTTCCCGGGTCGAGCCGACCCATTCGTGCTACAACTATACTACTAATATAGCTGTAGCATGGCTCTACCACGTATAAAAAATGGGGGTATGTTCATGGGCGGCGGTAGTCACTTACCATCAGGTGAGCCGCATGCTCGTTTGCCCCTTGTACTATAAAAAAAGCGTAACACAGAAGCATTAATCTGCTATTTTACGCTGATATTCTGAGAGAGCTTGGTCCTTCCCCGGTCGAGCTGACCCATTCGTGCTACTATAATATAGCTGCAGCATGGTTCTACCACGTATAAGATTGCCTCATAGGGATATTCGCCATATTAATATTGATTTGTTATCACGAGGATGCTGCACCCTAATTCCTGTCACAGTTTCCCTCTATCGCCTCTTATAGACTGTAGCATTATTTCTTATCGGATGGACTGTGTGTTCGTTTGTCACAAAAATAGAATTTTATTGAGTACATTACTTCAATAGAAAGTATTTTCTACAGCTACGTCGAGCCCCTCTCTCCTTCCACGAGAAACACCGCCCGTTTCTCGTCCTGTACACCAAATATGCTGGCAAGAGGCGACGTGGCCGTACCTTGGAGTGCGGAGCCACTACCAGCGAGTGCTGTCGCGAGCCTCTATACGTCAGTTTTAAGGAGCTGGGGTGGGACGACTGGATCATCAGGCCGTCGGGATATCACGCCTACTTCTGTAAGGGGACGTGCGCGCCCATATCAGCTGTTTCTCAGGCTGACAGTTATCATCACAATATAATTAGGGTAAGTTGTTTAATGTCATTTTTTTTTAATTTACATTTTCATTTACCATATGACCGACGGCAAAGGAATCATCTTGGTTACGTCGACCAATACCCTCTCAAATATAAGGGGAGGAGAGAAAATATGTCAACACGTATTATTTGCTGTGGGCTTGATTATGCGGAAGTTATTTAGTTTTCGGTGAGGAGGGCTATCAGTAACAATCAAATTCAATGCTCTTGAGAAACTCAAAAGAGGCCTGTGCAGCAAGCAGCTATGCAGTATGCAGGTCTAACAAGGCTAGTATCACTGCGACCAGTAAGATCTGTTGTGGTCACTGCTATGACTATAGTTCACTGCTAAGTTCTAAATCCATTGAAATGTTACGAGTAGCATTTTCATTTCTTCAGGGTTAAGTACGTGGTTGACGGCTCCGTGGCGCAGTGGCTTAGCCTTGAGTTGCAGCGCTAAGGGCCGCGGGTTTGAATCCCGCACGGAACAAGTATTTGTATGGCCTACAAATAATTGTTCCGGGTCTGGATGTTTGTCCTTGTGAAATCTATGTATGTAGGTAACGTTTCTTTAGAAGGAAAGAAGTTTCTCACATGTTAAGTTTGTTCATTCTTCATTGATATTCATCGACACTTGTGTATACAACGCGCTCTACACTTTATTTATTTTTCTTATTCTTTGAGCCACCATGATCTGTTTTATTATTTTTATTGATTTAATAATAATTGGTTATCAACAGAAATACTTCTACTCGGTGTCGAACGAGAGAAAGGCGGAGTTCAAGCCGTGCTGTGCGCCGACCACGTTCAGCTCTCTACAGCTTCTCTACATGGACTCCAACAACACAGTGACGCAGAAGACTCTACCGAACATGGTAGTGGAATCTTGTGGGTGTATGTGAGAGATGCTAGAGTATGATCGTGCAGTTACTGTAATTTATTGCTAGTGAAATATTTAGCAATTTAAGCGTCCTATTCGTGAATGTTGAACGTAATGAACCGTGGTTCATATTGCTGTATGTCCCGTCAAGTTCATGGACGTCAATGATTGCGTACGTCAGTCAAGCTTATTCATTATCGTTTAGCATCGTGCGTCGTCCATGACCTTGGCAGGGCGTACAGCAAGATGGACCGTGAATAAGGCGCTTTAGAGCTTTGAGATGATTTGGATGTTTAAAATATATTGATGCGTTGATTGTATGATTTTGTCTGTGTGGGTTTCGATCATGGTAACGTGATTAGTTTTCTAAAACTGAATATATTAGTCTTCTTTGTCAAACAATTTGTTACAACTTACTTTACACTCTTTTAATGTACGCATTACTAAATGACAAGGCATACCATTTTTCTTGGTATGTCGATAGCAAAGGGGTTGTGGAGACTGGCTTATTTCACCGACGGTTAAAGGCCTCCTCCTTTCATCAGTGAAATGGGTCATTTATCAGAAATCCTGTCATTATGTTCCAAGTTTACAACAAGGATTTGAACGCACCACTCCGCGTCGTAGCCAGTTACTATTTTGTAGCCAAGTTACTACTACTAGCTGACAGCAATACTAAATTGTCCAGATTCCACACCATTCGAATATTTTCTATACGAAAATGAAGCTGCGAAAATATTGTTCCCCGTAACTTCATCCGCGTGGAATTTATTAGAATTTGATTTCATGGGTTTTAATTTTTTTTGGGGGAACCCTAATTATTTTTCTAAAATAAAATCGGTCCAGCCATTTCGGAGATTAGCCGAAACAAACAGGCAAACTGACAGACAATAATTTCTAAAATTGTTTTTTGTTATAAGTATTGTATTATAATTTGATATGTATTTACTAAAAAAGCTGTTATTTTCACATTACAAACAGACACTTCAATTTTATTTATTTGTATAGATAAAGTGAACTTGACAACTTTTATTAGTAATAAAATACGTTGTCATGATCGAAATGGGATAATATGACATTAGAATTATGGTTAGTGTCATTTCTATGCTTTTAAAATGTGATATTGAGTTAGGTTAGTGTTATGTATACTTACTGCACATCTTAATTTGGTAGGGTTATAGTTAAGGCCAATTGTTATTTATTTATAAATGTTAAGCGTAAGTAAGAGCCTATGCATTTATTTAATTTAATTTTATAATTAACACTTAACTATGAATTTATAAGATAGACCAAAATAGAATAAAAACTAATTATTACAATTTTGTCATGCAAATGTAATGAAGGACGAAAATCATGATACTATATTCAGCAGCCATTTTAGTTATAAAGAGCTCTCAATTTATTTACAACTAGCTGGTCTCCGAGTCTTCGCCCACGTGGAAAAACTATTGGATTTTATGGGTTTTAATTTTTTTGCGCGGCACTCTATTTTTCTAAAATAAAATTTACTCTCCTAGGTTACTCCTTGAAAAGTAGCTCTCTGTTAATTAAAGGCCCGTCAAAATCGGTCCAAACTGTGACAAGTGTCTCCTCCAAAGGATAATTTTAATATTTCTTCTGAAGCCGGTTCAAAATTTGGTTCATTCCATAGTAAGCTACGTCTTTGAATTGCACCTTACAATGGAAATCGATCGTATTTATTAAAATTGCCAATTTGACCATAATTAATGCAACTATGTATGACACAATCGAAGAAGAAATTCTCGCCAGCGCATGCCGGTCCTACCACACACATACAATTGTTCTTTGACACTTTTTTTTTTCAATTATGTAATATAAATTTCTAACAAAATGAAATAATTCACTTTTATCGTTATCACATTGAAATAGGAGTAATTCGTTTAAAACTTATATGGAAGTTAGTGTGAAATCCTACAAATGTTAGTCCGTTTTAACAGTTTTATGGCCAAATATTCAAATTTTAAGATGTCATTAAGTCTCATGATTTCACAGTCACTTCGACTTAAAGTGATAGAGATTAGAGACAGCACGAGATTTGACGACATCTTAAAATTGAGTAGTGTTTGAGTATTTGGGCATTATTCATTATGTGCGCGCAGACTATAGCATAGACAATGAGTATTTTTTAATATTTTTTTAAAAAAAATTCGTGTCCTTCATTACCATGCGTGTCGAAATTGTAGAAAGTGTAAGTTATTTAATATAACTGTCAGTATGATAAATTATCAAATGTTATTCGTGTTAACTAAGTGGGGTTTATGTTTAAGTAACAAAGATTATTAATATAAGATTTAACGGCTCTGTTCGATAAATACCATTATTTATGGTTGTTATTGTATTTTTTTTTTTATATGATAGGGTGACAAACGAGCACACAGTCCACCTGATGGTAAGTGGTTGCTGTGGCCCATAGACATCTACATTTATCCTCTGCGATTTGCGAATCAAAATGCAGATGCGTTGTCACCTGTGAGGACTAAGATGGAATGCCACTTTTCCAGTAAAAAGGGTCTCCGGTTCTATACACTCACTATACGAAACACAGCAGTGTTAAGATGCTATTTGACGCTGGTATTCTGTGAGAGCGTGGTCCTTCCCCGGTCGAGCCGACCTATTCGTGCTACAACTATACTACTAATATAGCTGCAGCATGGCTTTACCACGTATAAAAGAGATATAAAGAAAGTATAGAGCCTTACCCAGTGAAAGCTTGAACTTTTCATCCATCCATTTATTAGAACCTATAAAATTTCACTGCTGATATATATATTGCCTCTGTGGGATTTTACCATAGTTGCCACGCTTGGCAACAACAGTTTTTTTTAATTATGAGTTGTTATCAGAAAGATGCTGCTGCCAATGTTTTTTTTTATAGAATAAGGGTGACCAACGAGCATACAGTCCACCTGATGGTAAGTCGTTGCTGTGACCCATAGACATCTACATCTATCCTTCGTTGTCCACAGTGAGGACTAAGATGGAATGTCTTGTTTCCAGTAAAAAAGATCTCCGGTTCTCTACACTCACCATACGAAATACTGCAGCATTAAGCTGCTATTTTACGCTTGTATTCTGTGAGAGCGTGGTCCTTCCCCGGCCGAGCTGACCCATTCGTGTTACAACTATACCAGAAATAGAGCTGCAGCATGGCTCTACCACGTATAAATGTCCTGTTTCAGTTTCTCTTTGTCGCCTCTTACGACACCTAAAGGGCAATATAGGGTAGTGGCACAGTAAAATTTTGAAATTTATAACTATTCAGTTTTATAAAGTGGCGCAGCCCTGGTGACAAAAAAAGTCGTGGATCATTGATCATTGTCGTGAGATTGTCGGTTGCCATGTTGCTACTTTAAGCAACATTACAATGGCATTTCTGCCGGTACTTCAAAATAGTGCTATTTCCATTACTTTAATTTAACTGTATTGGTATCAACAATGTCTTCCCACGAAACCCCGCTATGGGTCCTCCGTTTACAATAAATTACTCCTAAATAGCTTAATATTAAATTGTAAGTTTTGTTTCCAATATTGACATTTCCAGTTGCTCTATGTACTTAAGAATAATTGACCTACTGTTCTGTATATATGTATCATAGTTGTATAATATTTCTGTAAAGTATTATAGAGATAAGTGATAATAAAAAAAATAAATGAGTTGATAACAAATTGTTAACATTTTGTTTTAATAATTCATTTTTAATTTTAATTTGGGGCGCGAGATTCAAAGCGGCGCGCGATAAAGTTCACGAAGAATGTGCGTATTAACGGTAGTCAGAAATTGCAGTGGTGTTAAAGTTTAATTCAAAGTTCTTCTTGCATAAATATAGTGAAAAATTATCTTTGATATGAACAATGACAGATTAAATTAGTTAGCAATATTTAACATTGAATCAAACTTATTGCTTTATTTTTAAACTATGACGATGTTTTCGCAAAACAAAAATGTAGACGAATAAATTTTTAACAAATGTAATTCGATAAATAATTGTTTGTTGATATGTACCGATTTTAAATAAATGATTTTATTCATAGGATTATGTCTTAGACTATTTACTCTCAAAAACAAAGTAGAGTAAATAATCTAAGGATTATGTATTGTTTGTATATTAAATATTAAACGAACTATCAACAATTTGGGGAAGGATAGAATTTATTTTTGCTTTATTTGCGTCTTGCTTTCTGCACTCCCATCACATTTTTTTATTCGCTTCAACTGTTGAGGGTACACGTGTCTCGCCTACTTAATTAGTTTGCAAATAAAATATGTTCTAAATTATGTGGCGGCACTGTCGTAGAACGCCATAAGCGAAACTCACGGAAGCCTTAAGCATAATATAGAATTGCTGTTCTACCACACACAGTTAGCCGTCTCCATCATGTAAACAGCTGCGCCGTTTTTCTTGTCTCTTTCTGCTGCTAGGGCGGCACAGTCTAGCACAGTCAGCATTAATTTCGAAGGGAAGCGTTGCACACGTAGGCAGGCACAACGCAATTCCGCGTACACTGCTAATAATTTTTTTCTGCACTAATAACTTTTTTCCTTAGGATTTTCAATAAGTATAGAAACATTAACCGCAGTTGAGTTTTATATTATGTTGCGAGTGGTAATGGACAAATTAGATTTAATCGACGGCCTTTAACCGCTTATGAACATTGAAAACGAGATATTTTTTTAAACAAATTATTAATTAGGTTTAAGATGTTATTTATTTCTCAAAAGATTACAAATCGCTCACGAGAAATTTAACAATTTACAAACAATAATAAAGGAATTCATTACGAGCATACAGAATATTAATTATAGATGTCGGTAAAAGGCAAACAATTTAAAAGAACAGTAAACATAAGTTTTATTTAGTTCACACATTGAACCTATCAAAGCATTTTGTTCCGAAGGTGTAATGAGAAAAGACTATAGAAAACACTAGAATGATCTCTATTTAAACATTCTGTAATTGTAATTTTTTTTTATAATATCTATAAGGGTGACGAACGAGCACA